CGTTGCTTTCGGAAAAGCCCATAAGAAGAGGAGAGGCAGGCCTCGGACAGGCCACCGAGAGGCCGCGGCCAACCACAATGCGCCTGCACACATGCCTTTGGAAGTGCTTGGAAGGGTTCTGCTAGGCTTGGCCAACTGCTTCACCCTGCGGTGTCCCAGGCGCCTCCCCGCCTAGGCTTTGGCTATAGGCCGGGGTCGGCGGATTTATGGTAATTTGGGGCACAGATTCAAGCACAGAGAGAGAGAGAGGGAGAGAGAGAGAGAGAGAGAGGGAGGGGGGGCGGTTGTGAAAGAAAATACAAAAAGAAGGTGTTTGGGTTCCTTTAATAAGGTCCTCCTTCTTCCTGGGGGGCCCTGCCTCACTTTTCTTTCCTTTACGTCCGTTCGACCATGAACAAGTGGTGAACAACAAGTGCGGCCCTTCCTCGTCAGGAGGCCATTGAACTCGCAGAAATGACCGCTCGTGGTCAACGCCGGGGGGCCCACGTTCCAAGACATGGATGTAGAAGATAGGAGATGTAATGGCAAAAATCCAATAACATGAAAGGATTTTATTGGTGGATTTTGGATGACCATTATTCTATTTTATTTATCTATGATGGGTTTTGGACATTTATTAATTGTTATTTTCTATTATCCAAAACCCTCCATGGGGGACCTGCGTCCGGCGTCTCCTCGGGGCGTCTTTACAAGAAGGAAAAGAGACCAAAAGCCAATTGTTGAGGGTCCTCCTATTCAAATACACACCCATTGGTCATTTTGGTCGGATTTGGCTTGTTGGTTTGGTTCGGACTTCTGTTTGAAAGGCATTGATGTGGACGCCTTGACACAGAGAGCATATGCTGCATTGGACCAACGTGGGCTGTATCCCTGACGCGTTTGAAGGATGGCTTAAGGAGTTGAGATATTTTTTGGAGCGTTGCGCATTTTGGTTTTCGGGGCGCTAGACTGACAGACATGAGAGCACAAGAGCAAACATCGATGCAGCTCAGCTCGTGAACAGTATATTTGTTTGAGCCAGGTCCATGGATCTCCTGAAGATGATGGTGCATGGCCCGAGTTTTTATACTCAAGTGTCAGCCACCTTGAACATCCGCGTCTCAAAGATGTACGGGTTTAGCTGGTTGCCTAGCCTTTGTCTAAGTGGCTTCTTGTTTCTTTGACAGAAAGGATAGCCAGCCTTGAAGAATGATCAATTACATGGTCTAAACTAGTCAAGTGCATCCCGCCTTAGATCTTAGAAGACCGAGAGAAATACACACTCTGACATTGGTTTGCTGTTAACTCAGTTCCCAAGTCAAAGAAAGGCGGTGGAACAGAAAGGCGAAGAGTCCAAGCATTTGTAGGTGTTTGAACAAAGTGGTTTCACACTTGACTGCCCTTTACTGCAAGAACGGTAAGGTGCAAGGGTCCGAAGAACAGAACTGTTTAACAAACGCACTAGCACTTTACCAAAGCTAAGGAAACCTGTTTTGGGGGATATCATGCGAACAACCACCATGGAAACAACAAAAGGAAAAGTCGAGTCACAGCGTGTGCAACAGTTTTCATCCGTGCAGATACAGAAGTTTGCGTCCAAACTTCCATCCAGTCGATTTCCCTAGCTTCGTTGGCGTGACTAGGAAATCGACCGTCACGCCCCCTGCGACTTACAAGTTGAGAAAAATAGAAACTCTTAGTTACAGAGGTGGACACACACAGAACGCCGATATCGGCGCTCTGGGGGAACTTACTAATCACCTAAAAAGCCTTAGAACGAAAGGAAAGAAAGACAGAAAGGAAAACGCAAAGGAAAGAGAGAAAGATAGGTGTAGTGACAAGGCCCACTAGTTACGAAACCTGCTAGTTACTGACTACTTAGCCGCGTGAATTAAATGCACTAGTTAGCGAGCGGGACATACGTCTTAAACCGCCCGGGTAGCTAGGAGTAGAAAAGGAGAAACAGAAGGAAAGGTACCGACGCACAAGTGTGTCGAGTACCATTTCCTTCTGTTACCCTAGATGGGATAGAAACACGAATTAGGTTGCAAGGTGGGGGGGGTGTGTGGAAGTGCAAGTGTGGACAGACACAAGGAACCGTAACGTGTCCGATCTCAAAGTGGTCGTGGTTGGAAATGCGAGACAGTACATTCTTGAAAGTGAAATCAAGCTGCAAACATGAACGTGAATCTGATCAAAGAGAGTGGAATTGCCGTGAAGCCCGGCGGCATAAGTTGCAGGGAATACAGTGGTGAAACTAAATCCGTTAAGAGAATCCAAGGTCTGGTGGAGACGCCTCCTTGCGGAGGATCACACCCAGCGCCCAAGTGGGACGACTGAGCGAGTCACACTCTGACATTGGTTTGCTGTTAACTCAGTTCCCAAGTCAAAGAAAGGTGGTGGAACAGAAAGGCGAAGAGTCCCAGCATTGTAGGTGCTTGAAAAAAGTGGTTTCACACTTGACTGCGGAAACTAGTTACTGCATTAGCCCTTTACTGCAAGAACGGTAAGGTGCAAGGGTCCGAAGAACAGAACTGTTTAACAAACGCACTAGCACTTTACCAAAGCTAAGGAAACCTGTTTTGGGGGATATCATGCGAACAACCGCCATGGAAACAACACAAGGAAAAGTGGAGTCACAGCATGTGCAAAAGTTTTCATCCGCGCAGGTACAGAAGTTTGCGTCCAAACTTCCATCCAGTCGATTTCCCTAGCTTCGTTGGCGTGACTAAGAAATCGACCGTCACGCCCCCTGCGACTTACAAGTTGAGAAAAACAGAAACTCTTAGTTACAGAGGTGGACACACACACACACACACTGGGGAACACACTCTGACTCACTAACATGGAAGTGGAAAATGGTCCCTTGGAAGACTACTCGCCTTTGTGAACAAACAGTATATACATGATTAATATATACATCAGCATGATTTGCGTGTTCCCTCCCGATATCTCCCAGTCTGCGGAGGTGAAACGTGGTGGCGTCAACATTGACAAGTTGCACAACATCG